TGAGACCAAACTAGAATGCGGTGCGTCAGTAGACAGAGATTTCTGGATCTGACACCGCCCTGACGGTTGAGATAGGAGACCACGGCCATATTGTCCGAACGGATCAGGACGTGGTGTCCCTGGAAGCGCGGGAGAAAGTGCGAGAGCGCGTTCTCGACCGCCAGCATTTCCAGACAGTTTATGTGTAATGGGCTTTCCTGAATCGACCAGTGGCCGAAGGCCGGTGAGCCCTCGCAGACTGCACCCCAACCCGTGTTGGATGCATCTGTCGAGATGACTTTTCGGCAGGAAAAGGTCCCCATCGTGACGCCTAGACGAAACCATTCTGCTACTGTCCATGGCTGCAGCGCCGTGAGACACGTTTGCGTAACCCTGATCAGCTGGCGGCCCGTGTTCCACGCGCGGTGGGGTACACGGCTGTTCAACCAGAACTGAAGCGGGCGCATGTGCAGAAGGCCCAACTGAAGTACAGCGGAGGCTGAGGCCATGTAACCCAGCATCCTCTGAAAAGTTTTCAGAGGCCTGCGGGTGCCCATCTGGAACGAGGCGGCTAGACGCTGAACACTGCGCGCGCGCTGTGTAGACAGGCGAGCCGTCATCGTGACCGAGTCCAAATCTATTCCTAGGAAGGAAATCGATTGACTGGGATGAAGGGAGCTCTTTGTCCAGTTGACAGAGAGGCCCAGCGTTTCCAAATGGTCGAGGAGAACTGCGCGGTGCGACAGAAGCTCCGTCTGTGATTGGGCCAAAATCAGCCAGTCGTCCAGATAATTCAGAATGCGCAGCCCCTGGCTTCGCAGGGGGGCGAGCGCCGTATCCATGCACTTCGTGAATGTACGGGGCGCCAGAGATAAGCCGAACGGGAGAACGGTGTATTGATAAACAAGACCCTCGAAGGCGAAACGTAAGAATGGCCTGTGACGGGGATTTATCTGGATCTGAAAATAGGCGTCTTTCAGGTCTAGAGATATGAACCAGTCCCCCTGGCGCACCTGCGCGAGGAGTTTCCTGGTAGTGAGCATCTTGAACGGTCTCTTCATGAGCGCTTTGTTCAAAGACCTGAGATCTAAGATCGGTCTGAGGCCGCCGTCTTTCTTGGGAACCAGAAAATAACGGCCGTAAAACCCCGACTCGGTCATAGATGGCGGGACTCTCTCTATCGCGCCCTTTTGCAACAGCGTCGCAATTTCTGAGCGGAGCGTGCCGGCGGCCAGCGGGCTGACAGAAGATTCGAGCTGCGCGCGCGCACGAGGCGGGCGGCGGCGAAACTGTAGCAGGTAGCCGTTCTTTATAATGCTTAACACCCACGGGGAAATGCCTGGAATGGCTTCCCACGCTTTGGAGCATGCGGCTAGTGGCCGAATGGCTGTATTGCCCTGATTGCTGCACATAGCGGGCTGGACACAGTGTGTGGGCGCGCTTTGAATGTGTGTGGCAACGGGATTTGCACTCAGAGAGGAGTCTATGGGCCGTGACACAGAGCGAGCAGAGAGGGGACACGTGCACGAGCTCGTGGGCGTGTTTATGTTCTCTGATATTAGAGCGGGCTGTGCCCGTTTCATGTGATGGGGCTCTGATAGAGACACGGGATATGTTATGCTTGTGTGTATGGGTGAACACATGATTGTGGGCACATTTTCTACACAACTGGCAAAATTTCTCTTTTTGAGATTTCTCTGGGTAGCCGTAAAAACGGCTTTTTGTCGCTCGCAAGCGGGCTGGGACACCGGCTTGTTTGTGGCGGTCAACACTACAGCAGTCGGCGAAATAACGGGGACTGGCAGAGGGCGAAGCTTTGACGGCGGTCCGGCCGCAGCGGGAGAGCACCGTCGTTTTCTTGACATTGTTAGGCAGACTTCTGATGATCAGGCTTCAGCGTGATCTTAGGTCGCGGGCCACGGGGGGGCGGCGGTCTGCGGCGGCTGTCAGAGCGAGAGCGAGGGCGAGGGCGGCCGCTCTGACTGCGCTGAGCTGTTTGAGTCTGCGGAGGGGGGCGCTGTGATGGGGCTCTGGCGGAGGGCTCGTGAGAGCGGCCCGCTGAAGAGCTAGCGCGGCGGGGTAGAAACAAGTTCATCGCCTGAGTAGCTTTCTGTACTTCAGAAAAGCGATCGACGATTCCCGTGACGGCAGATCCAAACAGGCCCGTCGGGGAGAGGGGCGCGTTGAGAAACGCGGCGCGCTCAGAATCTCCCATGTCGGCGAGCGTGAGCCATAAGTGTCTCTCAGCAACACAAAGGCTGGCCATGCATTTCCCCAGAGCTTGTGCGGCGGCTTTAGTGGCGCGAAGGGCGAGATCCGTAGCACTTCTCAAATCCGTGACGGCGGGGGGGGTTTTTCTACCGCCTTCGGCCCATTCACGGAGAATATCGCTCTGTAACACTTGGAGGACAGACATAGAGTGAAGCGCAGCGGCGGCCTGACCGGCGGCGGCGTAAGCGCGAGCATGAAAGCTCGAGGTCGCTCTGCAAGCTTTCGAAGGAAGCGTGGGTGAAGAACGCCATCTAGCGGAGGGCGGGCAGAGGTGCGTGGCGACCAAGTCCTCGACGGGCGGCATGGCTGCATAGCCTTTCTCGGCGGCTCCGTCCACCGAGCGCAGCGAGGCGGATATATCGGAGCGATTTCTAGCCGAGAGCGGTGCATTCCAGGATTTTGTCAGCTCTGCGTGAAGTTCAGGCAGGAATGGAGCGGCCCGGGTGCACGCGGGGGTCGAGCGCCGATGAAAAAAGCTACCGTCCATTCGGTTCGGGGCCTGCTCGGGTGGAGGAGACCACTCGAGACCGAGGCGTTCGACGGCCTGTGAGAGGAGGCGCATCAGCTCCTCTTCTATCCCGGCGCGGGTCCCCGTCGACTCTCTCGCGGATCCGAGAGATGACCAGTCTTCACTGTCAGAAGCGAGCAGTGAACAGGAGTCCTTCTCCTCCGCGGCGTCATCGGAAACAACAGAGCGGCCACTCGGCGGCAACTGAATGTCCGGCAGGGGCGGGGAGGGAGAGCGGGAAGCGGGAGGCGGCGGCGGCGGCCCGCATGTTTCCGCTGGGGGCTCCGGCGGCCTTTGAGAGCGGCGTTTCTTTTTACGCGGCGAGAGAATAGGCGGCGCGGGAGCGGTTTTCACTGCCAGAAGTCGTGCCCGCAGGGACGATAACGGCAGGCTTTCACAGAAGTCGCATCCTCCATCAGCGAGGGCGAGTTCTGCATGCTCGAGTCCCAAGCAGAGAGCGCAGATGACATGGCGGTCTCCGTCCTCGAGACGAGCGCGGCAAGAGCCGCAGGAAAAACGAGACATCTTTAAAAAGACGCTCGGCTCTTTTAGATATAGAGAAAAGGATACAATCGTCGGATGGCCTAGCTTGCAGGGCGGCTGAAGGTGGCGAAGACGGCCGGCTTCTTCAGGGTCCTTGAGCTCGCTAGAGGATGCCTTCTTCGACGGCGATGGCTTTTCTCAGGAACAGCAGAAGCGTGCAGCTTGCTGAAGATGAAATGAATCAACATATAAGCCTGGGAGAGCTCCTTATATACACCATGGCCACGCCCATTCTGGCGGGTCATGACGCAATGAGCGCGCGGGCGCCTCTCATTGGAAGCGGGTTCAGCCCCGCTCTCCCATAGGCTTAAGCAGTTCTCTCTGAGCGAACCAATGAGCTGCTAGCTAGCCCGCTCTAGGTCTGCCGCAGAGGAACTGCGTTGTGTATGGATACAAAATTATGAAATAATTTTTTGGCTTCAATATCTCAGCAAAGATGAATCTTTCCCGCAGCGTAAGCTAGCTTACGCAATACGAGAGAACCTCTCGTAAGAGAACCACTCAGAAAGGCAAACAAGCAGTTCGACATGCATTTACATTTTGCTGCTGACTTCAGTCCATAGACAGTAGCTTCCCTATGGTAGCTTCAGTCATAAGCACTGCGTATTCAACAAGTATGACTATGAATCCTATAGTGCCCCCTACTGGTGTGGGTTACTTAACACATACTTGATTGTATGAAAAGGAGTTGCATTCAGTAAGTGACATTACAGATTAATTCAACCAACAAATGTTTAGATGACATGACATTTCGTGGAGTTTTAGCGGTGTTAGGAGAAAAACATTGAAATACACACATTTTTTGTTTTTATTTAATGTGGTAATGTGTCTTTAATCATACTTGAATTGCCAAAGCATAAACATTTTCCAGTTAGCTGTGCATACAATAAAAAATGAACGGTAATTAAATCAAGAATATACACAATAATAAAAAGTAAAATAATACTATTAAATAGGCCTATTAAAAAATAAAGCTAGAAATCCAGAAATATCTAGCAATAAATCGTTCTGCCTACTAAATCTTTCTATAAAACATTTTAGAAATGATTAGCCTAAATACATTTTTAAAGATTTACCAACTCGTTTGTGTGACAAGATTAAATAGTTAGACAATGCTTTCGTCTACACGACAAAAATATATAAGCCTACATATTAGCCTACATAAAGTAAAATTATCTTTTTATTATTATTTTGATAATTGTGAACAAACCTATCACCACAGAACAAGCTTACACACACACACACACACACACACACACACACACACACACACACACACACACACACACACACACACACACACACACACACACACACACACACACACACACACACACACACACACACACACACACACACACACACACACACACACACACACACACACACACACACACACACACATTAAAAATACATTTGGCTCATTCGCATGGCTCGCCTCAAGCATGTATGGGCTTTAAATTGCCAATAAAGATGTTTTAAAAGAGGTTAAAAACAAAAGTTAATCAAGACATCATTAACTTGGGGTCCATTTTTTATGCAAGTCAAGGCCGGCTGTCAAGCACCATAGTTTTTACTACTGTTAATATATTTACTGAACTTTTGATCAATAGATCAAAAATCTACATGTTTGTAGTCCAACAAAGATCCGCCGGAACTACAACTCGTCGCGTTACGGGTTTATGACGCACAGCTTGCGCAACTGAACTTGAGAGAAACATGGCGGCCTCCATCAGGGCACTAAGATTTTTCTCCGACTCTACGCGAAATATTAATAAAGTTTCACGGTGTCGAATCAAACATTTATGCTGTCGTGCTGGGATCACAGGGTGTCGAGGATATAGCGATAGCACAGAGGGCAGAAGTACGCACTTTGGATTCCAGACAGTCCCAGAGGAGGAGAAAGCAGAGAAAGGTGAGTTACACACATCAGTTTATTAGGACTGTTTGACTACTCAAAAGAGAATATATGACAATATTACATGATAAATTTATGTGTCCTGCTAGCTACATTTCACATACCTAAACAAAATTATACGGGCTTTTTTAGTTGTTCTATACGTATATGGAAACTATATCTACTGGCAACACGTCTGTATCTGCCTTTATATTTGGTATGGTTGTTTATGTATGTTCATTAGTATGATTAGTTGTCTATCTATGCCTAATTAAACGTGTTTATGATATTAGATAGTGTGTGATAGAACCTTTTCCACTAGCCATGCATGCATGGCATTTCCATTTCTCTCGTTGTTTTTCAACCGTCAGTGTATAAGGTGTTTGAAAGTGTGGCCGAGAAGTATGACGTGATGAATGACGCCATGAGTTTGGGAATCCACAGACTGTGGAAAGACACACTGCTCCACATTATGAACCCTCAGCCGGGGCTACGGCTACTGGACACGGCTGGTGGCACAGGTAAATTAAAACTATCACTTATTCTTTATTTCATTTCGTTTAAGTCATTTAACTTTTATTTATCTAGAGCTTTATACAATACAGATAGTTTTAAAGCAGCTTCACAGTAAACAAGAAAATAACAGTATTAATGCTGCCAAGTTCTTAAATTATAAAACGAATACAATTTCAGCTGAAAAGCAGCTCTAAAAAGACAATAGGCTAGTGTCATTATTCATCTCAATTTAGTTCAATAGCAGCGTGAATGTTGCAAAGTTCTTTATTTATGAAGTGAACTATAAAACAGTCCTACAGAAGATTCTAGTGTCATTAGTCAGTTAAATGTTGATTCAATGTTCGTCAAATTATGAAACAAGCCTTAACAGTGTTTAAGTTTTGTTCTCATCCAATACTGTCAAAGCAATAAAATTGATAATATTTCTGAATATGAATTGTCTTTTGAATATGAATTGTCTTTTAATGTGCTTCTTGAACATCAGTGTTGGGTGGGTATGGGTAAGTTACTCTGAAAGGGTAATTCATTACTGTACTAATTACTCTCTAAAAAGTATTGCATTACTAATTATTTTCTAGATCCCATATCGACCTCGACAAGTTGAACAATACAAGGAGGATAGACATGAAACTGCTCTTTTAATTCTTTCAAATAAATAATATAAAATTGCATAGATTATTCCTGAACTGACCAAAGTATTTAAAGCAACAAGGTTACAAAAACATACATTTGGACCGTGGAAAAGTTGAGAGAAAAACAGTGTAAAAAATGAATAATTAAAATATAAAATGTGATTAAAAAAGAATATAAATAATAGAAAAGAAATGTAATGTAACGCTGTAGAATCTAATTATTTTCCTAATTATATTTGACATTTTTAAACATAATAATGACACATGAAAATATATAGCTGCCTTTTAAATTTAAGGATTGGGAAGATCATATTTCGGGTCCATGGCACCGAAAATATTGAAAATCCCTGCCCTAGGTGTTCGTACAAATTCAGAAATGTGCTATTCTGCTGTAGGTGACATCTCTTTCCGCTTCCTGGAGTACACACACTCGATGTATGATCGTCAGCAGCGGCTGAGAGCAAAATCCCGTCAGACACCATCATGGCAGGACATCGCTGAACATTATATGTCCGACGATGCAGGGCCTCCACAGTCACGGGCCGTGGTGTGTGACATCAATAAAGAAATGCTCAAAGTTGGAAAACAAAAGGCTGAGACAGCAGGAATCACTACAGGTATGATCATCTGTAACCACAGACATGATTATGCATGTTTTGGAGTGAAATATAAAGGTTGATTTCATTGTCACATGCTTGCAGGTCTGTCATGGGTCGCAGGCGATGCAGAAGAGCTCCCGTTCGATGACGATCAGTTTGACATATACACTATTGCCTTCGGCATCAGAAATGTCACCCACATAGAGCAAGTAAAGACTCTGCACTTCACATCAGATTGCTGAACAGTTTAAAAATAGACACTGAAATAAATAAGTCTTGAAAGCCATTTAACTTCGAATTGTTGTCCATTGCTCTACTACTTATGATCTGTATGTCTTGCTATCTAATATAAAACATACTGCATTTCATGTTGTTATCATTTATTCATTTTTCATATTTCAAGAATGATGTGTATGAGGTCTTTGATCATTCTGAAGGCTAGTTATTATGATGATGTCTCTGTTTGCAGGCTCTACAAGAGGCTTTGCGCGTCCTTAAGCCAGGTGGACGCTTCATGTGTCTAGAATTCAGCAAAGTGACCAACCCTCTTCTCGCAAGGTCATTGAAACTGTGTTATTTTAGTATCAATATTATAGAATTCATTTTTTAGTAATTTTCTTGTGTGCTTTTGTAATTTTTTTTGTTTTTGTTTATATGTCTATATCATTTTTATTCATTTTATTTCAGTTGTACAAGTTGAACTGAATGAAAATGAGAAATGTTGTCTTGGAAACTAGCTGAAATAAAATGATCTTCTATAAAAAAAGTTTTTTATATTTTCAGTTGACGTTTATTTGTATGGAGCACCTAAAGGGACATGGAGATGGAGGAAAAATAATAAGCAAATGCTTTTGAAAGCAAAGGTTTTTTGAGTGAACAGGGGAATGTAAAACCATTGAAATATTTTTTTTTTCATGCCATCTCATATTTTTTTCCATCATCATGTCTTTTTAAGGCTCTTTTGCTAGTCATTAACACAGTCTTTGATTTGTAAGGCACTATTCTTTAAAAACACACTTTAGACTAATATGTATTGTTTATTGTGCTATAATAAAAATGTATTATAATCATTAATCATTCTTTTTTTGTAATTACATTTTTTTTTTAAAGTAAATAAGTTATCTAATTTTTCTGTTTTAAAGAGGGTATACACAGTGTATAGTATGTGAATTGCTCCATGATTTATTTATTTTTTTGCAGGCTGTATGATACATATAGTTTTCAGATGATCCCTGTGTTGGGTGAAGTGATCGCTGGAGACTGGAAATCATATCAATATTTGGTGGAAAGCATCCGAAAGTTCCCAGACCAGGTAACAAAAAACAAAACAAAATCCACATTCCTTAGTGATACAACTATTTAATAGGCATAAGAGACGTGGCACAATAAGTGTTTAGAAGACTTTTCGTGAAAGTGCAAAAATTTCCTTGTAGCTTTGATCCAAATGTCTTCATTTTGCCTAAAATAAAACCGCGTTGGGTCTTGAATTTTAAGAACTTATAAGGGTGTTTCATCAACTAAGGGATCATTTTTTTTTTCAAGATTTCATTATTTTTCTTTATGTGAAAACCACACTGAAATTGTGTCCATGCTAGGGATGTACCCGAAGCCAAATACTATGTTTGGAAATTAGGCATTCTACGAAGCCCCAATAGGGACATGGTGATGGAAAAAAAAATATGAGAAGAGGAAAAAAAAAAAGATTTCAATGTTTTCGCAATTATATTGTATATAATTTACGGGCATCAGGAAGCCGTGATCAATATGTTGTGTATTGAAATCGCTTTTGAATGCATGCTCGCTATTTACTATCTGAATTCAGATTTAGCCTTCGGACACATCCTTAGTCCATGCCTTTATTTTATTTTTGCAGCTTTTCAAATGCAAAATTTTAAGGGATTTCTCAATGCTAAAATATCAAGAGTTTTACAATATTGTAAATAACAGTTGACCTATGATAAGCAAAGAGTGAAATGAAGCATTTTAATATTTGTGTGAAAACTAATTATAGAATATGTTGTGAGAAACCTTTATCATACTATATGTCTTCCACAGGAAACATTCAAGGAAATGATTGAGGATGCTGGCTTCTTGTGTGTCCAGTATTTTAACCTGACAGGAGGAATCGTTGCCATTCATTCAGGATTCAAGCTCTGAGTGACTGTCTACCACATACACATGAGTATAGCTTTTCTCCAAATGAACTCTGACAAGAAAGAGTGCAGTTCTACAAACAATGGGATGACAGTAAAATCAGAACACTTGTGCAACAGGCACTGGCTCTTAAGAAACTCAGCATGAAAAGTCCTTTGTTCATGGATTTATGCTGTTGGTATATTGAAACACATTTCACCCTTTGAAGTGAAAATGGAAGAGATTAAAATGTTCTTTAAAGTGTTGTGGGTTTGAGTGATATGTTTGCCTGAGATATTGAAAATGTTAAAGCTGATGGAATGTGAGCACTAGTATTTTTATTTGTACAAGCTGGACAATGCGTTTGGTTTTTGGTCATTGGGAAGCACATGCTGACCCAATAAAACAAAAAAGACAAAATATGTTTTATTTTATCCCATTGCACAATGTAAGTTTAGTAATGAACACTCCCAATGAATTACCCATCATTCATATAATGCTGTGTGAGTTCTACTTCTGGACTCAATCAAATCCACACACTTTTTATTCGTGGAACTGGTCCATAACATGAACAACATCCCTGTGATGTGTTGTGCTTGGCGAAAATGAAACAGTCAATTGTGTTTTTACTTTAATAAAACCATATATTTTTTAAAGATCTTTGTACACTTTGTTACAAAACTGTACTAAAATTTTTAAATCAGTTTTTGGTCAGAGAATATTTAATCGTCTTGTGTGCAATTACCATGTATTTACAAAGTCTCTTATTAGTGATCTCAAGAAAAAAGAAAAGAACCTCACAGACACTCTGAACATAAGACATGGCTTAAAGATAAATATATTAGTCAATAAATATTCAGAGAACATATTTCCATTTATGAAATGTGCTGCTATACAGATACAGAAATATACACAGATCAAACTCTAACCTTTAACATTTGTAAAATGATAATGGAGAAAATAATTATATCTTTAAAAAAATTAAAAAATATTAATTTTTGTACACATTTTCTTTTATACAATCTTAAGTGCTACAAACAATACGAAATATTAAATAGTGACTTAAGTACCCAGAAAAAATGCTATATTTGCAGTACATATTTCTATGCAAGGCAAGAGTAGATTCTCATGTTACGGCACTGTTTTAGTCTATGTATAAATAAAGTTATTTTAAAATGACCGCCTGTGTAAGCTGTATGGGTACATTTCATAGAAACAGTATAAAATACTCTGTAAAAACAGAAAGGCATGATGATATGATGTATGTGTAAAGCATGAGTGCAATGTGTAGTTATTAAAGGTAATTATGCTGTTTTTGATACATATAAATATATATATACCACTGCATTCCAATCTCTTTAAACCATTATACTTTGGCGTCTTTCTGACAAACTGCTAGCTTTAAAAAAAAGAGCAACTTAGGGGTCAAACACTAGACATCCTACATCTCTAACCCTAGAGTAGTCAGGTTCTAATTCAACCAGTGGTGTTTTGACTGTACCCTGGAGACAAACTAAACTTTGGTGTGATATACATGTAGCTCAGTAGTCTCCATTGACAAGTATTGGAAAATAAAAAGGAATTTTTTTAATGGTCTATTTCTGTACTAAAAAGACAAAGGCCCTGAGAGAGGAAGAGAAAGAGGGAGATGTACATATTCAAGTCCGATTTTACACCTAGCCAAGTTGTCGGTGAGAAATGACCTCAGCACCTGATGTGCACTCCCTCCACATGAAGTGTTCCATTTTGGTTTTTTTCTCTCTAAATGAAATCATTTAGTTTACTGAGATGTATGTACATGCTGTATGACTTCTTACTGCTCGCATGCAATTCTGAATGTAAAAAGAGCATTCAAATTATCTTAGCGCTAATAACATGGAACTTAGGCATAATCTAAATTGTCATAAAAACGTAAAAGTTAGTCATATACATTTAGACATTATCCCTGGTCCTAGTCCAATCAAGAACGCATTCATATAATGATGCTCTGTATGCATGAGGAAGTATGTGAAATTCAAATATAGCTGTTATTTAGCTTTGTACTTTTGCCTTCTATAACCATTGTGTTGATGTGACAGATTCTGAAGGCCACAGGAATGAACAAGATCAACACTGGAAAAAAAAAAGAAAAAAAGTACAATTGTAAAATCTTAATTTGAAAAGCAAACCATTTCTGATAAGTACACTCCAGAGTTTTGACAACACAACTATTTAAAAGTCTAACATTTATTGATTTTCAAGAGCCTGTGCTGTTTTAGGGTCTCCTATCAGAGCCCTGATCTATCATAAGATGCTTTGCCACCCCCTTGTGTTTCAGACACGCCAGGACACTGTGAGGGAAACAGTGCTGTCGCCTCTTCATCCTGAGGCTGCTGATAAACTTGACCTCTACATTGTCCTGAGGTGAAAAACAAGTCACAATTCTCCTCAGAAGTCCTCTCTTCCCTCTCTAGGTTAAGTCTAGGAGGGAGCAAACATGTTTGTGGTTCTGGACCCAAGCCTAATTCACAGTCTGTATCCTCAGGAATTATGGGTATTCGCTGTGCTAGCTCACAGCAACCCTGACCCATGCATCCGTCACTGTCTGTCTGGGCGTACTGTACGTTAACTGAACAATCTTCAGCGTAATTACTAGCACTTCCTCTGTGTACAGTCATCTCTGTGTAAAAGCAGCACGGCAGTCCGTCATAGCTAACATGATCTGGAGACGGTAGCTGCTCGGTGCTAACGCTATAAAAGTTCTGTGGGGAAGCGACCGCTTGAGACTCTGCGGCCCATCTGCAGCGTCCTCGGTCTTCTCCTTCCTTACCTTTACGTTCTAAGTTTAATTTAGGTACCTCAAAACAGCAGTTGCAAGCTACCCCTTGCTCTCCACAAGGCTTCACAGAGCTGTGGCTCCTTTCTGCCACAGAGCCCTCTAGAGGCCCGGCTGAGGTAGTGCTAGTAAGTTCCCTGGTTTCCACTGAAGAGTGGTTACTACAATTGGGCTCCAGGCTGCAGTTAGACAAATGGTCCCCAGAACTGTAACACGCTCCAACTGGAGGTTGTAGGCAGTCCATCATCCCTGATACTGGGGCAGAAGTGTCATCAGCTGGAGGGGCGGCAGAAAACAGCGTCCCAGCCTCCCCAGCCGATCCCCGACACGGACTCTTACTTCTGTACACGTAGGGATCGTAATCACTGCTTAGCGAACTCCGGAACGTCGAACAGCTTCCATACACGCCCTGGTTGCTGACTTCCGTACAATCCAACATGGAGTCACTTGAGGAGCAGTGGCACTGACCCGAACTGCTGCTGCTGTCACTTCCAGGACAGTCCGCAAGGTAACCGCTACACACAGAGCGGTGCCCGTGGTAACAACTAAGTCCTGAGGTGCTTCCGGAGTCACCCAGACGAGAAGAGGAAGCCGGTGCCATGTGCACCACAGTAGGATACAAAAGTCCTGGCTGGAAGGGTCGACTGTGACCTTTGTGTAGTCCATTACCAGGCTGTCCTTCAGGTTGTGGAAAGGTCAAGCCCTGAAAATAGTAGTGCTGGTACATGGTCTCGTACTGGGAAAAGCAGGCAGCACGAGAAAAGTTGCGTCCATGGAATTTGGGCCGTTTGAATGTATGGGTTTGTGGGTAAGCAGGGCCACGATGCTCCATGCCGCAATGGTGCGGGTTTAGTGTGTGGTCCAAATGGAGGGCAGGGTAACCCCGTATAAAGGAAGATTGCGAAGGATAGAGGCCCTGCTCAGGGTGCTGGTCCACTGTTAAAACAGTGATGGGGTTGCCATGGGGGTCCATGCTGGTCCGTGTAGGGTAGGCCGTCACTTGCCCAGCTCTGTGCACCCTTCCTGGATAATGAACAGGGAGGACAACTCTCTGCTGCCGGCTGTGGACTGGGTTTCCTGGATCCAGGCAAACGGCACCTGGGTTTCCCTTTTTTTGTTCTGGTAGAAAATAAAAATGCACAGTTAAAACTGAATCGAGACCCATTATTAAGACATATTTGACAAGTTTATTAGCCGGTTTCTGATGCTCACCAATAATGTTGTGCCTGCAGTGTGGACAAGTGTGGTGCTGAAGTAGCCAAGGGTCCACACATTTCTTGTGAAATCGGTGTGCACAAGGGATAACCCTCAACTCCTGCAAGTGTGGAGGAAAAGATTCGTGAGGTCAACAGGTCGGTCTTAACATCTTTGTGGGCCTTCCAGTTATTGCAATGACATTTTGAAGCTTCCTGAAATGCAATATTTGCAAACCCCAAAAAACAGACAACCATGGGCCCCAATTTTACACTTTTACCAAGTCACAGAGCTGTTTTCATGCTTTAGATCAGGGGTGTCCAATTCTGCGTCTGGAGGGCCAATGTCCTGGGGTGCTTCTCAATACTCAAATTGATACTTCCCCGTTACTTCGCTCCTCCGTCCTCCAGCCCGTGACCTGGAGAACCGATCGAACTCAGCCATTTTGAAGGACATCCCAATTCTCTAATTGCACCGCGAGGAGGAGAGGAATGAGGAGCGAGGAAGCTTCCTGAGAAGTCATTAGCGAGGATACACAGGTGTATCCTTCCCTCGCATCCTAAGGGAGAGGAGCTAAGACGCGTCGAAAGGAAACGAGGATGCACAAACAAGAAATGAGAAGCACCCCTGGAGAATTTAACTTTAACCTGCACGAACACACTAGCCAGAAAGTTTCTAGTAATCTGGAAGACCTTGATTAGCTGGTTCAGGTGTGTTTAATTAGGGCTGGAAGTAAACTTAAAAGGAAGGTGGCCCTCCAAAAGCAGAATTTGACACCCCTGCTTTAGAAGCAAAAATACCACATTGTGCATGTGAACTGCAGATGGCGCCACCGTTACACAGCATGTCAGTGCTCAAGATGCTAACATTCTCAATCCCTTTCGAAGAGATGAACTCCTGTGCTTTCAGACAGAAAGCCTAACCTCACAGATCTCACCCACAGAAGTCATTCTCTGTCCCCAAGCATGACTCATCCCCCCTCCCTCTGCCTTTCCGCCCCGCTTTTGTTGCTTTTCTTAATCATCACAGACAAAACCCTTTGATGCCATTGAGCCTTTTATATCGCCACTTCCTCTGTGCATCTAAGACGACTTGATTTCTTTGTTGTGTGCTTTTATTTTTTTGCATGACACAAGCACAAAGGCGAATAAAAAAATGTCACCAGCGTTAGTCTTCATATATTTTGAGACAAAAGAAGCACAGGGAGGCCAAAACATGGATGTTTAAGACAACATTATCAAGAACCTCAAAAAGGTCCATTGCCGAATAAACCAAAATAAATAAACTAGAAAGCATGACTAATTTTCCAGGGTCATGCAATAGTGGTTTGGCATATTCCTTTAATCCGTTAGCCTGTAATTTGGTTTTGGAATAGATATAAGAGAACTGACAAAGTGAGGAAATTTGGCCAGTGTGCAACACCTTTTTAAAGAGTTTTTTTATTTCCTACAAGCTTTTGAACATTTGTGAAGATAATTACCTCGCCATCGATGTATTTCTCAAGGCATATGGCACAGTCTGATGTGGAACTACTGCTCACAGAGTCTGATGCTCCACAGCTGGCCTCACGTTGACCCTTGACCTTAGCCTTGAACTTGCGTGTTTCCATCTTTTCCAGGGCCTGAATAGCCATCCGGTTCATGGAACTCTGACAGGTGGGGAAACAATTATGTACAGAAGCCATGTCAGGAATGGCATGAAACGAACTTCTTAAAATTGTAAATTGACATGAAACAAGACACCTTTTGTGAATGAATCAAATTGCATGAGACGATGAGGTCAAAATTTAGACTTCAAATTGAATTGTTACAGTGTAATCAAATATGTATCAAACTGCGTTGTGGAGCCTCACCTGGCTGCGTCTTTGCTTGAGCTTGATCTTGATGAGGAGGATGAGGCAGACCAGAGACACCACAACGAAGAACGCCAGGAAGATTCCCATGTCAAAATACTCTGTGGGCTGTTGTAGACAACAACAGGAAAATGTCAGAACATTTTACAGATAAGGTGTACGCAAAAAAGATTACATACACAAAATAATTACAAACTTTTTAAAATACAACTTTCTTTGTGGGACACTCGTGTGATAACGCAACAGCCAAACACAACCTGCCCTAGAGGATGTACTTTAAAGGAGATTCATTTTAAGACTTAACTTTTTAGAGAGTTTTATTACACTCTGTGCAATACTTTATTCTGATTGGTCAATCGCGCCATCCAGCGTTAAGTTATTCCCCGAAAACACCTATTACCAATTTACCTACTCATTGTGGCCTGTTTCAAAAGAGTTGTATAATGTAACCTTTATAATGCTTGTATAATCTAACCTTTATCACCCGGCTCTGTCACAACTTTTTTGTAGTGTGTTGCAGCCATCAATATCAAAATTTGTTTATATTTACAAAATACAATTATGTTGGTCAGTGAAAACATTGGAAAACTTTTCTTTGTACTTTTGTCAGTTAAAAAAAGGTTCAAGAGAATTAACATATCACAGATTTTACAAAATGTCCCAACTTTTCTGGAAATGGGGTTGTAGATAAACGTTGTGACCCATAAAGTTCCTACTATAACTAACATACAAATCAATTTTATTGCACTTAATACAAGTGTGAACTCTCACCCTTGGTGGTCTATGTTGGATTCTGGCTCGTGCAACTTTTTGCTTATTGACTATGTTCATCAGTTTAACAGCATCGGCTCCTTTGACATAGACCACTGGCCTCTTTAAGGGGTCCTCTGAAATCTGGTTCAACTAGAGAAAATAATGAGAGAAAAGACAGTAAGAACTTGAGAGAGAGATTTCAAGCTCTCACGCCAGACCACTTAACAATTAAACGATACAGTTATTTTGAGTAAAAACTCTCAAAAGCAGCAGAAAACCCATTACATTGCTATGGCTAAGATGCACTTAGAAAAATACATGTAATTATTTTAATGAATAACATTTCCAATCATTATTCAATCTGCCCAATCTACATGAACTCGGTTGCCAGGGAAAAGCTCTCCCCGACAACATACACCCATGTGAAAAAGCAACCTATAGAGTCCAGACATGGAAACTGTGGTTGGCCTTTTTCTTCTATAGAAGGGAAAAGTAGCAGTAAACCAATTGCATGTTGCAAATGTGGATGCTCAATTTAGCCTTGTAGCTCCCTCAGACTACAGCTCCAGTCTGTAATTTGAAAAACCTGAGGGAAATACCAGGGATATTCAAGCCTCTATTTCTCCCTCTGTCGTCATGTCTCTCATGTGAAATATGGGAAGCTGAAAGATAGTCATTTAAGCGTTCTTTCCCCCTCTTATTTTTCAGGTCTGTTGGGTTTTCATTCAAGAAAAGATGCACAGACTCGGGGAAAGCCTCTCGTTTCAAACAACGCATTCTCTATGTTTACACATTACAACACGATAGAAATACAGGCTCTAACAGCACACATACATCGTAGAGACGTATTTGCGGTTTGTGCAGTTTTATCTTGACGATTTACAGCATTCGCTTATCTCCAATACACTTCTAAGTAGTGATCGACCGATATATCGGCCAGCCGATATATCGGGGGCCGATATTTGCGGTTTTTACGTGTATCGGAATCGGCCGATACGCGGCTGCTGCGTTCGCCGATAGTTTTTTCCCGGCATTATTTATAGACAGGCGTCCACAGGCAGCTCTGTGCTGCTGGAGACGCTGCAGTTCACGTGCAGACCCTGCACTGTCCCTCCCCCACTAGCAGAGTGCAACCTGCGCTTCAAGATAACGGTAACTTTTAAACTTTCAAAGCATCTTTTAACTGTTTGACTGCTGAAATATTGTCAAACACTTTGAAAATGGAAACACGTTGCTCTATAACTGTTATGTGGTTGCAACTATATAGCTAAGCAAGTTTGTGGGTCCAAATGGAAAACGCGAATGACTCGTCTATAAAACTGCTTGCTTGCCATTGTATTTAGGGAGCTGCAAATAGCTGTAGGCTATCCGTTCAGTATGCATTAGGGCTGTCAATGAATATTCTAAATACGAATATATATTCGAATAGTTTAAAAAAACTGAATTTTGAAGGTGAAAATTAATATTCGAATGTGGAAAAACACGCCTGCGGTAGCAGACTAACGTTACCACAGCACAGCTCGCTCGGAGCGCTCAGTGTCGGATCTATGTACTGTGAAACTTCAATTAATGTATTTGTTTCAATCACTGAATGAAGCCTGCTATATACCTTAAATTGCTTGCACAAAACTCTTGATCAGCACTCAACATTTGTTTGTTGTTGTTCATTTAAACCGGTATGCGCGGAGAGCGTGAGGGTGAGTGCGAGAGAGAGAGAGAGTGCGCCTGCGAGTCCGGGCGAGCCAGAGTGAGCTCTGCGGTCTTGGCCATTAGTTGATTTACTCGTTTTTTTTTGTAGTAATACGTTGTCAAATATGTTTAAACTCAAATAAGCTACTTAATACTAGTAGTTATGTCTCTTTGTATTAATTTGTCCTGTTATTGACGTAATGCGCGTCATTGACCAAATGCACGACGATATGTTCAAATATGTTTTTTAGAGGGAATTTACAAACGCCATTTGAGCAATTTTGACAGCCCTAGTATGCGTACGGTAGCTGTTACGAACACTGGTCATAGGATTAAGTAATACCAACGTTGTTCCGTGCTTTTTGTGGGAGATTTATTCAGCGACCACCTGGCTGAGGTTTGGACGCGTGTGGTGTGTATCTCCCTCGCCATCGCAGTGATATTAGAGACTAGACATGCTCATTTTATTTTATGTAGAAAAATATAAACCATGGCAGTAAATAGTTCGTTACTTTTAAAATGAAGTACAGTGTGCACTGTGCACTTTATTATGCTGGTTGCTACTGTGTGCAATAGTGTAATTATTTTATTTATGCTTAAATATTTATTTTCAGCAGTGAACTTTTTTTTGTTCTACCTCATGTTTTTAATATTTGTTAAATATTGTTTATCTACTTGTTCTTGTTCTACCTCACATGTTTTTACTATTTGTTAAATATTTTTTTTTTTACGTTAAATAAATGTTACTTTTATTAAATTGAGACCTGTAACATTTGTTAACATCATGTCATTTTTATGATGTAAATTGAGGGAGCAAAATGTATCGGCTCCAAATATCGGCTCAAGAAAATCGGCAGCCCGTATCGGCTAAGGCTGATGGGAAAAAAATCGGTATCGGTATCGGCACTAAAAAAATCCATATCGGTCGATCCCTACTTCTAAGGTGTTTGTCACAACATTTAACAGACATTTGTGACGTTTATGATTTTTCTTTGGAATCTGTTTTCTAAAGATTGTTTACAAATACAACAAAAGCAAAACCTGTCACACATTTAGTAATCCATCAGACAAAAATCAGATCATTTAAAGTAATAGCATACATTTTTCAGGTGAGGTATCACAGACGTCTTTGGCAATCTACATATGCTTACTGGGGGAGAAAAGAGAGAGAGAGAGGGAGAGAGAGAGAGAGAGAGAGGGAGAAATGAATAAGGACAGAACTAGGTTAGGATCTGGGGTAGGGAACTAGGGTAGGATCTAGCAGGTGATGATGAAAGCTTTTCCCTTAATGCTTCGCCCCGTGATTAAAACTCTCCTCGTCCTCCCCAAAGCCTTGAGGCTTTAAACTGTAATCTGTGCAACCGAGGAAGCCGAATGAGTCTGGACAGAGGTGCTGGCACTGGAATGTACTGCGCTGACTCTTTTCATGTGGTCTACACAGAAGCTCTTTTATCTCGTCTGTACACCGTTTACAACTGAACAAGGGAGAGGGGGAAAAAAGCAAGTCTGGGCCTGGTTTGGAAGAGAAAAATACCACAGTGAAAGAGAGGCGAGTGGAAAAAAAAGACCCTTGCTCTCTCAAAAGCAGAGACAAAGAAAAGGACTTCCGCAGATCAGCCTTTTCCACAGACAGTGCTGAGAATAGGTGCTGCACCACGGTAGTGATTCCATTAAGTAAATGGAAATAAAGTGGTAGTGGACAACACGCTTCTTTCAATTACCACTGAATATCTTTAACTACATTTGCATTTCTTAAAGAAAATACCAATACATCCCATCCGATTCGGTCCTAAACAGAATGTGGTACTAGAATTAGTCTTAAGTTGTAAACAGTATGCCAAACATGCCCAAAACAATATAAACTATTAATGAGTGTAATTTAGTATGTAGTGTGAGTATGCAAACTGGGACGTAACCACCAATTGAAGGCAATTTCATTAACAAACCACATTACAAACCGATGACATCTTTAAACACTAAATGGGAGTTTTGAAGTTCAAAATGTGAGGTTTTAAACCTTCAACCTTGATTTAAGTAGAAAGATAAATAAATGAAAATATATATATATATATATATATATATATATATATATATACACACACACACACATAAATACACTGTATAGCACAGCACTACAAAAGGATACGTTTACACGACACTGATGTACTAAAAATCACGGATCCACGAAAATGCCCAAAAACGCTATGCTGCCGAACCAGTAGTTGGTGATGTCACTTTGTAAAGGAACACTATGCGCCTATAGCCTGAACACAAAATATGCAAATTTGCATTTTTGTTGTTTACACGGAGATGATAACGGTTTAATTTTACTTACACTTTGAAACCTGTTTTCAGGCTGCTAAAACGAATAAAACGTTGTCCATTTTTAGTTGAAAATGGTGTCGTGCAAACGGCCCTGAAGGTTGAAATTATCTACAAAAACTTGTTATAACTAACCAAATATATAGTCTTATTATACACCCATTTACAATAATGGATCCAATTAACATGAATGTTTTTCATACATTATGCATGCAATGAACAGGTGTTTTTCTAGAAAATGCTAATATTAAAACTGGATGTATTGCTGATAAAGATCAAATTAGGCTGAAGTAATCATGACATTCAGCACTGATGTTGCAGACACTCACCTGGTCGATGGCATCTGGATTTTCAGAGACGTCAAAGATGACAGCTGTGGCCCCTCTCTGAACGGCTCTCTTCGCCTGTGAGGACGGTGACAAACAAACAAAAATTATTCTTCTATACTTGAAGGGACGAAATCTCATCTAAAACTGACAATGCAATGCTGAAAGTAAACAGTGGAAAAAGAATAAAGCACTGCAAATTACCAGTGTTATTTTGGTATTATATATTTATTAATATTTGATCATAGGTTTTATTTTTATATGTTCAGTTTAAGTTTTCAGTAATTTTACAATGTACTTTTTTTTTTTTTTACATTTCTATTAAATGTATTTTTTAATTCAAAAGTTACTTACTAAACTAATATTTAGATTTATTTAAATTACTGATTACTTTTACTAGTTTTAGTTTTCATTTTAGTTAACTATAACACTGGTAATTACTGCATTTATAGGAAAAGACAACAATTCAAAATACAAGAAACCGTAAGACCGCAAACCCCAAATGCTTAAAGTGGGAGCAAGAGTAGGCTCCACATCAAAGTTTTTCTTCATTTAAAAGATTTGGATTCATTTAAAAGCAGCCCATTTTAAAAGACACACTGAAGTAATGTGACTCTTTTCTTGAGGCTTAAGTAAATATTTCCACACCACGTTAAACGTTCTACATGTTTCTCTCCCAGCCAATAGAGGTCGCTCTTACACTTCAGCTAGAGGGCTCACATGACTCAGTGTGCAGAACAAGTACTTTGTGATGGTTACAGTGGTTTTCTGTACATAACTACAGTTCAAAGCTTTGATCAATGCATTTAGTTGAGCTTTCATTGCTTCATTTGTTCACCATTTTATTGCCATCTTGATGTCCATTGTTTTATTATTTATAATAGATAATCAACATCACATAGCCGGAATCGCATTTTGTTTACATACAGACGGCTGGGTATGTTCCAACTTCACTCATGCAAAAGAGAAAAGAACAGGCTGAAAGAAAAAGAAAAAAAAGGAAAATAAAGAGATCAAAGCGACAATGCGCAGCTCTATAACTGTTATCAGAGTAGCAAAGAGATGGCACTTTTCCAAGCCCAAGGCATTCTGGGTACTATGAGAGAAAGCATGGCCTCTCCACACACTGCCTGAGTGCTTATGCATGTCTTTGAGTGTGTGTGTGGTAGAGAAATTGCCAGTGACTGTTTAACAAAAACAATACATGTATCTGCAATTCACTGTTCATTTACGTCAAAGGGATTTAGCTGGAAGTCTCACGTAAGAGGCCTGAATGAGAAAGTTGGTTTAGGTTGGGATTTAGTAGCTAAAGACATCAGTAATTCAAATACACGTTCATTAACATCAAACGGTACATTGGATGGATAGATGGATAGATTGATAGATAAATGGATGGATTTTGTATTTTGATGTCTACCACAAAATGATGGGTCTGGTGATGTGGTAAGCTGATCTTCTTAATAAATAGTAACTTACAAGTCCAAATAGAATAAAACATTGGAAAATCGTTAAAAACGTTGGAGCCAACATTCATTATCAAATACATATTTCAACACGAGACTCACTGAATCCCACAGGAAAATCACAGTGAAACCGAATCCCATTCTGACTTCTGTTAAAGCTTGAGCAACAACGTGCAAGAGAACAAAAACAACCCAGAGAAAACTCATGGGACTGCAGTCGTACAGCACTGAAGGGTTGGGTGAGAGGTTATGCAGCAATATTACCAAACTCAAATTTAAAATCAAAGCTAAAAGCTAACATTTTGCATATTGACTGATTGAACCCATTCTCCCATCTCCCCATAATTTTGGAGAAAGCAAGCAATTTCAGGAGAGGTTAAAAAAAAATCATCATTGGAGGAAAAAGTATAAAAGAGCTTATCTCTTAAAAGGTTAAGAGATAAGCCACACAATAGTCTTAATTCAATTTTGCAACATTTTAATTTTGCAACATTTTATTATTCCCAGACATAATTTACAGTCTTTGATTAGACCTGTCATTTTCATTTAAAAGTGAACGTGCTTAGTAAACATTGTAATGAGAAAGACATGAGAGAATCCAAAGGAATTCATTTGACGCTGGATGAGGGAACACCTCGAGAGATGAAAACGAAGTGGAAGTTAATGACTGTTTATGTCTTGTCAACGTTTAGATTCATACTACCATTTAGCTGATTGACTGATCCAAAGGAATGAGGAAACAGACTGAACTCTCTCGCTCTACCTTGTTTGCTCCACATCAATGTGCTTCGAACAGTTCAGCTGTGTTTCGGCTCTTTTGAAGAAGGCAATTTCAGTTAATTATTAATAGTGCTTGATAAAAGATCTTTAGGAGTGAAATGAAGGGTTGGAGAGAGGGGTGGTTGACTGAAAGAACAATAGAGAGAGAGAGAGAGAGAGAGAGAGAGAGAGAGAGAGAGAGAGAGAGAGAGAGAGAGAGAGAGAGAGAGAGAGAGAGAGAGAGAGAGAGAGAGAGAGAGAGAGAGAGAGAGAGAGAGAGAGAGAGAGAGAGAGAGAGAGCGCCTGGTGGAACAGGCCAGAAGAAATAGACATGGAATCTACTTTGAGCAAGCGCTGCGATGTAACAACTTGCCTAACAACAGCAAAAAAAAAAAAAAAAGCTTCTTAAGACATTGCAAAGACCACCACGCAACCTCCCATATACACACACACACACACACACACACCTTGTTCAGGTGTCCTGCAAACAATGGCCACCAGCAGTGTTAAGGAATCTACTTTGTGTAGCTAACTAATTCAAAAGAGTAGCTACAGTTTCAATCTACTAACAAAAAGTAGCTAACTACATTAAAGCTACTTAAAGGGATAGTTCACTTTGAAATTAATTTTTGGTATGCTTTAGCTTACCTCAAGGGCATCCAAGATGTAGGTGTCTTTGTTTCCGCAGTAGTTTCAATTTTGATATTTTTAGGTCAAACTGTTCTTGTCTGTCAGTCATATAATGCAGGTCTATGGTCACCACCTCAAAGAGCATGCACAGAGAAGTCCAAATTAAACATGATTTAATGACTCGTAAATGTAAGTACACATTGATGGCCTAAGACACGAAACGAGCGGTTTGTGTGAGAAAACGAACAGTATTTATATCGTTTTTACCTCTTGTAAACACAGCCACGTCCAAGTGATTTGATGGCGCCGGCGCTTCGGTCTTTTCCGGCAAGCGCCGGAAGTGATCGCTCGCGCGTGTACGTCACTCATTGTTTACACAGAACAGAGATTGTAGGTAAGACGGCTAATTGTAAAATTGTACTAATTTGCGCTTATCCGGGATGTTTAAACCGCCGTAAAAGAAAAAAAGAAAAAAAAAAGAAAAAATAAAACAATTGTATGAGTGACGTACATGCGCGAGAGATCACTTCCGGCGCTTGCCGGAAAAGACCGAAGCGCCGGCGCCATCAAATCACTTGGACGTGGCTGTGTTTACAAGAGGTAAAAACGATATAAATACTGTTCGTTTTCTCACACAAACCGCTCGTTTCGTGTCTTAGGCAATCAATGTGTACTCACATTTACGAGTCATTAAATCATGTTTAATTTGGACTTCTCTGTGCATGCTCTTTGAGGTGGTGACCATAGACCTGCATTATATGACTGACAGACAAGAACGGTTTGACCTAAAAATATCAAAATTGAAACTACTGTGGAAACAAAGACACCTACATCTTGGATGACCTTGAGGTAAGCTAAAACATACCAAAAATTAATTCCAAAGTGAACTATCCCTTTAAGGGGGATACAAAATGTTTTTAAATATAAAACTATCTGAAACATAATATACAATTTGATAACCAGAGTCATACAGTATTTATTCTTGCGCATTAGACTAATAATCGACTAATAATCAATATGAAAACATTAGACAGCACAATTTCCGAATTTCCATGGGAACCGTGGAATGAAAAATGTCAGTTCCAGAATACTGAACAGATACATTTACACTAAATGCAAATAATTTGTTATAATCGAGAAGATTTAAAATACTGCGCAAGGATTTGTGCGCAGAGCCTGAAATAAGTGAATCCTTTGCATGGAACCATCCAAACAAACAATTCATTCATTAGAAATAATTGACCAGACATTATGACTGGATTCCGCGATTCCGTACGCATTTTCAGCATTGCAGAAATCATAGAGCCCTAAGGAAGGTACTATAACTGTACCTTTACTGTAGTAAAAGTAAATGTAATATTGGATGCAAAATACGTAGTTTAAATCGCAATGAACTTATGATTGCTAGAAAGCACTACATCAACCGGTGCAATAGTGACTGTGATATCCAGGTGGGCTACAATCACTTTATAGACCCTTGGAGCAATCATCTCTCCGATTTTAAGCAATTTTTCCTCTCGCTTTCTCCTCCTCACCCCTTTTTATATTTAAGCAATCCTACACACTCACTCACTCACTGCATTGCTATAATTAAAGTAATTAAGTCTTCAGAAAAGCAAAGCTCTGCCATTACGCTGTAATTTCAGGTTGCCTTCTGGCCGTTGGGATTCCTCAAAGATAAAGGCATACTTTTCCTCATTTAGAGTTTACTTGCATGTGGTGGGACTTAAAAAAAATTAAAATGATCACCCTATATTTTCTCTGAAAGTGCCAAGACATTACTTAGGCAAGTCCTAGATTCTTGAAGGGAAAAGGTAAAAAGCTTAAAAAAACAAAACAAAGCAAAGTACAAAACTATACATGGTTTCTCACAGTCTCTTCACTTGGGTTTGCCTGGGCTACACTTAACACGAAAATCCAAACAACACACTTAGCTTAAGTTTACACTGAGGTCCATACTAGAACCACAGCACTTAACGCTAAATAGACACAGGCTACAGCTGCTCTTATCCTGTCATTTATTAGGTTATATTTCTGCTGTTGACTTGTGTCAGTGCACAGGTTGAAAAGCAAAGAGAATTTTACATACAATTTACCTAAAAATGTTAGGAAGACTAAATAAAAACACCCACAAAATGCTTTGACTACATGAGGTTACTTTCCTTACAAACAAAACTACCATGTTGCAGTACACTCTTAAAAATAAAGGTTTCAAAAGGAGGTTTT